GGAAAAGCTTGATTAAAGGCTAGTGTGTTTTGTTTGCAACCATGCAACTTTACTCATAGGCTGAGTTATTAAAATCTTGTTATATTTTTATTGGTTTCAGCTGCAACTACAGTTAGCACAATTAAAATCTGCTGGGCTTACATTTGTCCTAAGGGAAGGTCAGTTTGTAGTGGGCTTATGAGTTAAAAGACTGATGATGATGAAGTATAAAAATATATTTTATATAGAATATTAACACTTGAGAAAACTTGATTCCCTTAAATTAACAATATTGGACTTATGTGAGGAATAAAATGGAAAAGGCCATAATCAAACAGCATGCTGCAACATAAGGCGATTTTCTTTCTCCAATTCTGGCACACTTCCAAAATGTTCCCATCAAGCTGAAAAAATATTTTTATTAGTCATTGCATATTGATACTTAAAGCAATTTCAGGTGTTTCAACACACCGAAAGAGAAAAGACGTAAGACACAGACAGGTCGTGGTCATTGTCAGTTTCTTACTTTTTAAAAAGTAAAAAAATCATTTATGCAGTTTAGGCTAGGGATGCAACAATACGGTTTTTAGGATACCAACATGAATGACAAATACATTGTAATGTCCCAATACGATAACAATACAGAAGTATTATGATTTATGATTAATAATAGCATTTTATTTAATTTATTGGAAGCTTTGTTTGTTTCTCTCAAAAAATCTCGACTGTTATTTCAAATTGAAAATTGACTTTACAAACAAACGTAGCAAAGTCCAAGTGAGTTGAGTTTCAATTTGCATAGTCCTTTTCAACCCATAGGAAGGCTCCTCTGCTTCCATTACACTGACAGCTGTCATGGCCACCTTTGATGTTGTAATGCTCGTCCAAAACTTGGTAACTAAACTGGGAAAGTCCATCTTATAAGGTTAAGGTTTTACTCAAAAGTATTGAACTGAATGAGATGAACACTTGTATTTCCATAATGTATTACATTATGCATATAAATAATGTTTAACATTAGAATAGTTATCTGTAATTATTAAAATAATTGTTTTTATCATTTATTGAACATTTTGTCAATGTGGACTTTGCCAACTTTGATTGTATACCACTCAATTGTAAAATATTTCTATATTAACCTATGAGGGCCCGCGCGGCCTCGCGCATACGATACCGTAGAGGCCGGCGCACTTAAGATTTGAGCGCGCCATTGGACACTCGACTCGATCTTATCGTATTTTTTACGACTTAGACTTAACAAAGCTCGGCAATGCTTATATTATCAGAAAGATAATGAAATGAACTCGCTGACTAACACAAAATAAACACGTTTTGTTTATATTTGGAGCGGAAACATGAGCTTGTTCTTAGAAGAATTGAAAAATTAACTATTTTGTAGTAAAGATGGAATATATTAGCTACCAAATGTCAATTATACCAAAAAAACATATTTTTATAAGATTAAACATAAAATTCCCTAAACAAATTGGTAATTTTTATAAATATTGTAAATATAAAACTACAACTTTTTGGAGTTTGAAAAAGCGCTAAAATTTCACCACGGAAGCAATTCGCGCGGGTTGATCTCGGTTTTTCGAAATTATACTGTGTCATAATTATAAGGTATAACTTAGCAAATTTTCGTTTGAAATATCAGTAATTTACATATATTGAATATCACGACCAAACTGTAACGTATTAGCAAATAATATAACAGTAATTACCAAGTTTTCAAGATCAGACATCAAACTCACGCAAAAAGTTATGAGCATTGTTTTGTGCACAGTTTTTTCTAAAATTACTAAACAATGCCTTTTTATTTACATTTAAAAAAAACTTCTATAAATGAGCATTCTATTTATATGCGTTTCATTATGTTTTATCAAACAAAATCAATAAATAAAAATCCTTTTAGTGGCTACTTATTACTCAAGTTTTACGTCTAAAGTCGACCTTCCGCTGTGTACGTACAAGAGCGTATACAGCGGGTTCCAAAGTAAGATTAGTGAAGTTTAAAAATAAAACTGAGGTTTACAAAATAATAATTTATTCATAATTAATGTTAACGTACTTATTATATTAAATTTTCTTCTAGTGTTAGGTATGTATGTACTTATCTGAATAATAATAAACATAATTATATATTTCAACTTATAGAAATATAAAAACAACAACTTAAATTATAATATAAATAATTTTTTGGTCACCCATCCAATGACCGACCACTGCGAAAGTTGTTTAACTTTAACGATCGCAGCCGAACGCGCTAAATAACACTTGCGCCATCGAGACTATTTACAATAATATTTCAATACACATCTCAAAACTCGCAACTCAAAGTTCAAGCCAAACCATATCCTTTTTTGTAAACAAAGAAAGCCAAAGCGTCATTGTTTTCGATGGAATTGTTTGTAATTCCATCTAAAACGACAATGGCTGCAGCGCACATGTGCGCTTGTCCCTACCTGCGGTTTACGTTGTTCCCTCAAAATGTTAAAACGAAAAATTAAAGTGATTTTGTTGAATGATAAACTTAAAATTGTAAACCAAGCCGAGAAACGCAATTATGAGTGATTTTAACTTGCCGGAATCTACCTTTTATATAAAAAAAAAGAATTTATAAAATTGATTCTTCATTTTTCGATAAACTTTATGAAATTGAAAAACAGATTCATAATTGTAAGAACGACACTCAGAAAAAATTAATTGATTTCTTCGAATAAATAAAATATGTTTCTAAAAACAAATGTGTACTTATTATGTATGTATTTTTTAACGCTCTAGCACCATGTTTCTCGACTTTTATTAACCTCTAGAGTAACTACACTCAAACTTTGTAAGTGACAAACTGCTTTAGTGAGAAACCTCTAATAAGCGAGAATAACATTCGGGTCCCTTGGATTCTCGCTTACCCTGTATTTATAATCGATTAGATATACCTATCGCTACAGCATCACTACTGGACAAATCTAATCACCTAACATATGCTAAAAAATATAGGTACCTAAGTACGTTCATAGTTGAACATAAAATCTCAATAAATAATTATCTTCAAATCAGAACAAACACTTCCTTCAAAACAGTAGATAAAAAGAACACCCTTGTTCAATAGCCGGAGCAATTCACGCACACACATAAACGTCATGTTATGCATGTGTGCGTGCGTCTTGCGAACATTTTGCGGTTTGCCTATAATATTTGAATTTTATTGTGAAAGTATCTTTATAAGTACAAATGTTTTGTAAAATCTAACTTCTTTCGTAAATTTGCTGTAAGTTTGAATTGAAACTAGGATAAAATAATAAAGTAATAAAATAGAAAAAAAATCATGAAAAATGGATAGTAGGTAAAAATTTTAGGTTGTTTTTGTTTGTCTTCGATTTATTCAAAAACTAAAGCATGGATCAGTACACGTTTTTTTTTAAATATAAAAAAAAATGTATAAAGAATTGATAACTTACCCATTTTTTAACTTCTTTGTAGGATTTCACAAACAAAACACACTGAAAAGTACTCGTACGTCAACAGCACAGGAGAAGAGGAGCACGAATATTTTTAAATGGTGGTCACATGAATGAGTATTGTTCTTGTAGACTGTAAATCTTTGAATGAATAGGTTGGTTCTTTCTCATTCATTTGACATACGACACAAACCATTCTGATATTATTTGTTTCAATTATAAGGTCTAAACTAGTACAACTAGTCTTGTCGTACTGGTGCGGTAGCCGGCGTTGAGAGAGATATTTTTTTGTCGGACTGGTTCGACAGCCGCACTTAAAAGGTTAATAGTTCATGAGCATGATACACGAACCAGCCATGGCATCGGTCAACCATAAATTTTATTAGATACTATTACTAACCATCAATATTAAACTTCAACATTGTACTATACATTTGGATTGAAAAGGATGGAGAAGAGACATATGTCCGCGATCAGTCTGCGTCTTACTGCGTGATGTATTTGTACATACCCCGTCTTATTACGGTCCATAATACTTGGAAAGAATGATCTCAAATATGCACATGTGCAGATCAACAAAAGTAATACTGATAATAGACTTTGAAAATTAAAAATTGCACTCTGTAATAAAAAAATAATATTAAATTAACCAGACTAAAGTATAATCTTATAGTTGAGATAGTAATATTAGCATTTACTTTGATAAAAACTGTATATATTGTGAAACAACTCACCATGTTTATTTGTAAGTACAATAATTACAGTTTATTATCATACGAGTGGTACACTTTTTGCTTCATTAAAAGTTTTTTATTTAAATATATATTACTCCCAAAATAACAAGAAACAAGGACCCACTTAATATTTTTTTTAAATAAATTAAAATTTGTATAAACTCCTGGCAGATTTCCACTTCGACCTAAAAAAATTATAGTTATCATGTTTTTCAGAATCTCCCTTTTCAGGGAAGGCGAAGAGTACAACGTCCATACAGCCTAGTTTTAAGTTTTATTTTCTTTTTTTACATTAGAATGTCGGTGTGATTTTAATTATGGTTCTAGGAGTGTTTGACATAAAATGTATCCACTATGAACGAATTTTAAGAATAATTAAAATACGACGCCAGCCGCAGTCGATGAAATCCCGCCAAAAACTCTGATCTCTACCCCTAGCACGAACCATTATCAAATTCGAATAGCGAGTGCTAAATGTCAATGTCAAATGTTCTGTGGAAACTTGAACAGCAGCGCCACAAAGTACGTAACGAGAACTAAAAAAAAGTACACATTTGACAATGACATTTCGGACTCGCAAACGTTACGAATTCGATATTGGTTCATGCTAATGGTACCAAAGACTAATGGTACTGAAGTTATTTTACGTGCTGTGGTGCCAGACCCAATTTTTAACAATCCGAAGGGTTGCGCTCAAAAATCATCATTAACATCGTTATCATTTTGGCGAAATATTGTTTTTAATCTGCCCTGGCAATTAGATAATCACTTCTGGCTTCCAAATAAGTTATGACCTAAAGATCTTTGTTACCAGGTCATAAATTAAAAAAAAAACACTTCTGGCAACCCTACTGTGCTGTGCTCGCGCTCTAATGTCAAATCAAATATGTCAATAAAAATTGCGAATAAAATATATATTAAGTATAGCAAGTATTAATTGTAGTAGTAAAAAAGAGATTCTAGTGTTTAATTTTCAATAAAATTAAACATGGATGAAGACAAATTTGCATTAGTGGAGAAAATCATTAAAGACGTCGACAATGTTATGATGAAAAATGCTGAGTTGTAAATATTTCTTGTATAATTTTGTCCAATCAAAGTCTTTATGTATGATCCAATTATTATTTAAATATTTTTCAGGTACGCCTTTGATATCGTTCCAGTGGAAGCAAATTTTCAAAATAAATCTCCTGTTCTACATTTGGAGAACTGTCTTGGTTTAGAATCTTGGTGTGTAAAGCATGTGTATATGTACTGCTATTCTGAACTTATGGATAAATACTTTGCAAAGCCGAAGCGCAAAGCTCAAAAACCTTCAAGTATTAATGCTGAGAGATTGGCGAGATTACTCAATTTAACCCTCCTCATCAACCCAGAATTGAACACCTTGTGGAATAAAAGACGAGAGATGGTTTTACACCATTTCCTTCAGACGTCACATGAATTGCAGTTTTCAAAACTAGTACTTTCAAGAAAGCCTAAATGTAATGAGGCTTTCGCATACAGGAGATGGCTTCTGAATGAAATTTTCAAAGGTAATAAACATACATTACATTTTATTTCTTTCAAAATCGAAAACTGGTTATAATAGCCATTAGCTGTTTGTTAAGAACTGTGTAGAAATAATGGAATAGGCACAGTTTTAGTTTGATGTTTGACTTGATATTTCAGACACTACATTGCAGAGTAACCTTATCACCAGTATTGTCAATGATGAGCTCTACATGTGTGAGCTGGCAGCTGAAAAGAGTCCCAATAACTATCATAGTTGGAACCACCGCATGTGGATTGTGAATATACTGAAGAAAAATAAAAATTTTGATGTGAAATTCCTATTTATTAAAGAATATGACTTCTCAGAGAGGTGGACAGCAAAGCATGTTTCTGACTACAGTTGCTTCCACTATAGACAGTTTTGCATTCAAAATATATTTTTAATCAGCATAGAAAGATGGAATTGTTTTGAGAATAACATCAATAGTAATTTCAGAAGGAATTTTGTTAAAATTTTAGCAAGTAATTTTCCTAAACATGTCACTATTCAAACATCAGAAGATGATTTACTTACTTATTCTGATGATAACTTAGTCGATTTATTACTTAGCTATACTAATAAGAATTGCAATTGCCTCAAGGATAATGTTGCAATGTTAAAAAAAATTGAGGTCTTATTTTATGAGTTATCTTTAAACAATGAGTTGCTTAGGTTTTATAAATATCATGAGACAATGTGGTACCATCGGAGATTTATTGTAAATAAGTTAATTACAATCATGTATGATCATTTTGGTATTAACAGACAAAATGGGGTGCTTGTTAAAAGCAGTTGTGTGAAATGTAATATAGATGTTACCAGACAAAGGAATGCCAAGATAGTTAGATATGATGGTAACAGAATTTATTCTTGTACACTCTTCAATGTCTTGCTAAATTATGAATACAAATTTATTGATGAAAGACGCAATGATGGTGATAATTATGCAGATAGGCATGAGAAATATTTACGATTTGTGGAAGGTCTAAATAATGTAATATGAAATATAGAACAAATTGTAATAAATCATCACAAATAATGATTTATAAAGTCATCTATTATGTATAATGCTACTATTGAGATTTAGTTAGTGTTCTAAGAATATAATGAATTGTATGTATATTATTGAAATTTTGTAAAGTTAAACTTATCAATCGAATTGTAATATTTCTGAAAATAAAATTAACAATGGTGATACTATATGAAAAAATCCAAATATTTCTGTATTTGCATTTTTATATTTTCAACTTTTTTCAATAATATTGCGATAGACTATCTTAAAAAGATGAATTTTAATGATAATTGATTGAAGAAAAAAGACCTCCAATTGACATCACAGGACTCGCCAAAAACTTTATATTGTAAGTAGAGAGAGCTAGTATTGTTTGTTTTTATTTAATTTTAATTTATATTATATGAAAAGACATTTTATAAACATTTTTTTTTATTATAACTCCCATTATTGGTACTAATTTCAAATTCCAATCAATCCTACTCTTTGATCAACAATTCTATAGATAACGGGTTGCATACAAAATCAAATCTAAAAACTGTCTGCCTATGTTTAAACTTGTGCAGTTACATTCGATTACCAATGAACAAAGATAAATGTTTTAAAACAGTTAAAGTTGAACCTAATAACAAATATCTCACCAAGGAATAAGGTTACAAATAACAAAATGCTATTACACACATAAAACCTTTTATATTTTAAAACGAACTCTTGATCCTTTTATAAATTATATCTGATACTTAGAAAAAAACGATAAAGGTGAAAAAAGGAAAATGTGAAATCAACCTTATGACCCACAAAATAAAATATTATTACCAATTTTGTATTTACCGAAATAATTTAAAATAAGATCTCGCGCCTTAAATGAGGATTTATTTACTGCGACGGATTTTACGCGCTGGCCCGTTAATTATATTGTTGATCGAAGATTCTATTGCTATGGTGTTTTAAAGTTATAGATACGTCGTACACGCTTCTAATTTGGCGATACCAAACTCAGGTAATTGCCTGACTTGCATTCAGTCCGGCACGCTCTCTTGCCGCGGCTACACTTTCCTACAACGTGTTAATATTTAATGTTTTTCCAGACAAAAACGCCCTTTGTGTTCTTAGATAGTACACAAATTAGAGACAAGAAAAAAATATGTCATTTCATTAATTGGTACAGTTTTAAAGAAATTATTGTAAAAATATTTAGTGATTACTTATTTTGATAGTTGCCAATACCGTTCACACATGGAGGCTAAAGAGCGAGATTTTAATCTGCTTTATGAATGAGAGTGAAAAAGACTACTTTAGTGCATTCTATTGGCGGTAGTTGCCAAGGGAAGTTGGGGCGGGGACTTCTTGTTTAAAATGCAATAATGTTGACATATAACCTGTCTATATATTGTTACGTTTCGGGATGGGGTTCGAAATTATATGCCAGTTCACGCTTGACAGCTCTTTATTCACCACACAGTTCACACAATTAATACACAATATTAATTACAAAACACTTACTAAACACTGTATTTCACTATACATGTCTCTAAACAATCGCACTTGAACACTTTTGTTGCACTTTGATCGCCTTTGGATTCGCTCCGAAATCGCTGTCGAAACTTAACTGTCTTTGCGCGGTGCCAATCGCGCTTAACGCCGATCGACGTATTCTAGAAAGTATTGAGAGTTAGCTTTCGTAAGTACGTTGTACCTACTAATACCAACGCAGATAACGCGCATAACTTGTAAACAAGTGCAGATGTCGTTGCACTTTCTCCCTTACGACGCACTGCATAAGGCTCATTTTAGTATGAGCCGCATTACTCGACCTCTATCGCGACCGCGGTGCTCATTGCTGCCGTGGTAAGGTGCTAGGTGATCGATGTGGATTATCTTGCACTTCATCCTATCTCCCTGTCTTATCCGATATCCGCTTGTTGTCCATTTTGTTCTTGTGAGAGTATACCGCCGATTCCTGCCCCTCTAGCATGACCACCGAAACGGGATATGATATTAAGCGATATATCGGCATTAACTGTCAGACTACTATGGAGTTTGACAGTTGAGACTCGATAAAAAGCTTTATCATATCCCGTTTCGGTGGTCATGCTAGAGGGGCTGTATTACTAGCATCAGTATCCACAATGAATCTTCCCTCTCTACGTGGATAGCTAAGGATTGGTGTGGAACAAAGTAAATCCTTTAACTTCGTGAAAGAACGCCGGCAATCTGTGTCCCAAACGAAGTTTCTCTTCTCTTCCGTCATGCGCTGAGACTGGAATGTCACTTCTGTCTCCAGTTGTTACATGTCGGGATGGGGTTCGAAATAATATACCAGTTCACGCTTGACAGATCTTTATTCACCACACAGTTCTTACAATTAACACACAATATTAGTTACAATACACTCAATAAACACTTTATTTCACTATACAAGTCTCTAAACAATCGCACTTGAACACTTTTGTTGCACTTTGATCGCCTTTGGATTCGCTCCGAAATCGCTGTTGAAACTCAACTGTCTCTGCGCGGCGCTAATCGCCGCATTTTAGAAAGTACCTGTTAAATTGAGAGTTAGCTAGCACTCGTGAGTACGTTGTACCTACTTATACCTACGCAGGTAACGCTCATAACTTGTATTAAAGTGCAGATGTCGTTGCACTTTCTCCCTTAAACCGCACTGAATAAGGCTCATTTTAGAATAAGCCGCATTACTCGACCTCTATCGCGACCCGCGGTGCTCTGGCACATTCAGCCTCTAGCACTTTCGCGGTTCCGTTTCGAGAGAGTTTGTGACAATATTATACGTCATTGTTCTACTATGTGATGTTATAATACAGTATTGTAACTGGCTAACTGGCCCTGTTTTTAAAATAAGTTACGTACATAGTACGTAAACACAGTATTTTAATTAATTCATCTACCTTGGGATTCTCTCTAGTTTTGTGATTTTAAATATAATGGCTCAAAATCACCAAGGTGGTAAATCCACTTCGGCAGCAAATAAATGCCTAAATTCTGTATTTTTTTTAACATTTTAGCATTGGTAAACACTTAACTGTGTTTACTTTAACCACACATCACACAAAATAATTAAAAAGTCTTATATATTACATTTTATATGGACAAATAAGTACAAAAAATCATTTGGAGAACGCGTCCTAAGTAGCAATTCTTAAAAGCTAACACCAGAAATAGTCATAAAATAAAACATTTTTAACGGTTATTAATACCCATTCACCTTCAATTGTATCTAATATTACATTATTGAAAGCATTATTAAAGAAGAAAAACGAATTTAAAAAATCTAAGTCTAAATATAATGTCCGACAATATAAGCATCATGTTAGTGAACGCAGCTTTGATTACGCGAAACAAAAAATTTCGAACGCATCCCTCTTTAGTCTATGGAACAGCTGTAGAGAGAGTTGTAAACAAAGTGGCTGTGAAGAAAGTAGTTCGCCAAATGAAATTAAAATAAGTGGTAAGTGGCTTTCAATTCATTATTTACAGAGCGTACATCAAAAGGTCGTCAATTGGGGAACGCGTTTTCCAATCAAAATTATGCAATAATAGCTTTTATAGTGTTGTATAACAAATGTTATAATCAAATATTTTACATTAAGGAAGCAAGAATTGCTGTCAAATATGGCTGCCGTTTAAAAAAGACGCGGTTATTTGAAAATATCATTTGGTGAACGGTCATTTGGGGAACGTTCTCCGATTTGATGGACCGTTCTCTAAATGATGTTGTTGTTCCCCAAATGACTATTTAGTTACTAATTGGTACTTTCTATTACTAACTGTCAATTTTGTGTATGTCGTGCTTACAAAGTTATCAATAGGTATACTAACTTTATTTTTACAGCAATATGGAGTCTCACAAAGCTGAAAAAAACCGTTCGAATAAGCAAATAAAGAAAAACAGTACAGCTTACTTAAAGAAGTGAAGTCTCAGAACCCTACAACTCCCAATAGCAAAGTTAACGCATTGTTAGAAAACGTTGAAGTACCTCCTGAAGTGCGCAAGAATCTTTTATTTAACGAAGTGAAATCTTTTATTTGAGAAAAAAATCCAAAGACAGGGTAGTTTTTCAAAAATGTGTTAGCGGGATTATGGTAAGGCAATACAAATTGCTTCATAAGGTTAATTGTTTTTTGCCAAAAGAGAAAACCAGTACTATTCTCAAATCTGACGCCATAATTCCTGAGGTTGTTTTGAATAAAGAAGTTCGCGAAAAAGTCAAAGAGTTCTTCCAAAGAGATGATGTCAGTAGGGTGTGTCCAGCCCAGAGAGATTTCGTAAAGAAAAACGGGATTAAGAAGCAGAAACGCCTCCTTTCATGTTCAGTTAAAGCACTGACGTCAAGAGTTTTACTTGGCTGTGTCATCAATTATGAGACTAAAAAAGTGATTTAATTGAGTTAGAATTAAGTTCTTGTTAAGAATAAATCTTATAGCAAATAAATAAATAACAATTACTTCCTATAATTTGGCTTATTATTCAATTTAACTGTGAATTAAACCCTAATTGTCTGCATATCGTCATTTGATGAATGCCCTCATCATTTCGGGGAACACCTCTAAAATCAAAGAAATGCCATTATAACATAAGTTATTTAGGAATAAAGTCTGATAATATTGGAAACAGGCTGAATCCCTATAGCTACCGCAGATTTATTTATATGCAAGTGAGCGATATTCACTTATTTTGTAAATATAAGAACATGAAATAGTCATATTCGCTATGTGCACGACAGTAGCGCCACCTACAATGCGCAACTTTCCGGGATTATGCCAAATAATAACATCAGTTTGTATTTTATTGATTTCTAGTAAATATAGTAAGGTAAAGATAAATAAAAATTATTATATATTGTATAATAATTTAAATAATGTCGGATTTCAATTCGGAATTCAGTACAGTCAATAATAACTCTTGTATTGATGTAATCTGGACTGAAACACTTGGGCATTGGTGCTTGTACGGTGGCTCTATTCGGCCAAAAGATTAAATTAGCAGTTGAACAAGCTAGATTTTGTAAGATCGAATGAAATATACGTGAGATTGTGGTTTTTTTGTACACCAAATAACACACTCAATGCTGAAAATGTCAAGCCAGTTTTCATTTTTATCAAAAAAATCAGAAGTCGGTCTTTAGTGGAAACTGTACATTTTCTCATAGTTAATCTTGTTAATAAAAACTCAAAATTGCTAAATGACACACCAGAAGGATCTAGGAGTTCTTGATCATTTGTTATTGATGAAATACCAACAAATTCTTGACTTTTTGTTTCGGTAGATTGATCCTCATACGATTTTTTGTCAGTGCCACAGCTTTTATCTTTCTTTCTTGAATTATTTGTCATTAAAATTCTTGATGTTGGATCACAGTGATCACTGTAAATTAATCTAATACAAATAAAAGTTGTATCTCTTAATTTCGATTCAGAAAACATATTGACTTGACATCCTTGATCGATCATAAAAGGTTGAGTTTGATTTAATTCACTCCCTTCTTCAATTATTATTTGACTTGATGTGGTATCTGAGACTTTTGTGGTTCTTCGTTTTGTCAAGCGTGTATATCTAGCTA